AGATACATTCACTTAACATTTTCTTTAAACACAAATCAAATACAAAGTTCTTAGCCTGACCTACCTCTCAGATTTGATTTTGTTTGTGGAATGACTTTTTGATTCAGCTGAAAACTTTTCAAAGCTAATTTGTTTATTTTGAATTTGCCAATTATTCATTTTTGACTTATTTTGTTAAAATAACGTATTTCTGAGATGCTTTAAGCTCGACATGCTTGAAAGTATAATGATAGCTGTTCTATGGATTTTATTTGTAGAAAAACATAATTGAAGAAAATGCCGTAAGCGCCTTTTTAAAAATTATTTTTAAGTACTCCATAATCTTAAAAATTTAAAAAAAAAAAAAAAAAAATTCTGTAATGTTTTGTTGAATTTTAAGAATTTCAGCTTTAAATGTAATTTAGTCATCATTCTTATTTTCTGATAATGTTGTGTATTGTCTACTGTACTTACAAAATCAGCATGTTTTTACACTAATAAAAGAAAAAATTCAAAATTCTTGGTGGTGGTGATAGATTTGTATTAAGCTTTTCAATTTTTGGTTAGTATAGTGTAACCCGGATATAAGAGAGTTGTCGGAACCGGAGAAGAAGTCTCTTATATCCGGGTCTGGTCTATTTTATATACATTAACACAGGCTCTAATTTGGGACCAGAGAAAATCTCTCTTATATCCGGGTTACACTGTAAATATAGTTTTCACTTAATGTTCCAAAAGTGTTTTTATCATAAAAAAAAAAAAAAAAAAGATGCTAAAATTCTCAGTAATCTTTGCCTCACCACTGATACAAGAAAAAAGATTTCTTTAACCAAAATTTGTTAGAAAGGATTAAAAAATTTAAAACTTTCGCCTCTCCTCTTAAAATTTTGACAATGAAACTGTTGCTGCCAAGTTTAGGTCCATTTTAACTAAAAAGTGGAGGTACCTTTATATACATATATATATATAAAAAACACACAGGTTTTTTTTTCCCCCATGCATACCTTGAACCAATTAATAATAGGGGTATACCTCAACCTAAGTCAAAATAACCACAATATAAAGTGTAAATAAGCACTCCCCATTACCGCCTATTACAGTATTTATGATATGTACATATAGTATTCTGAATAAAATAATTTCCACCACCTTATCTTCCAGCAACATATGCTTAGCATTGGGACTTTTCTTCTGAGCCATGGGCAAAAATGTATTCTAAATCCTAATTGAAATGTAACTGCAAGAATGTCAACAGCAGAGTACAGATGTAAACAAGCCTGAATTCAAAATTGGTGTTGGCATAGAAAACAATGCATGAGCGCTGCCTGTTGGCAGGGATTTGAAATAAGAACATATGCTGAACATACTTTCTAATGCTAATATATATTGATGCATGTTTCATTAAATAATATAGACAAGTTTTGTCTATTTATTTTATGTAAATTCTTTTCATATCGTCTGATAAGCTTAATAACATCATTAAAAGATGAAAGAAAATCACAATATTGATACATATTTTTTAATCCTATCTTAGCTTTTGGCTTACAGAAGCCATTATTAAAGATAACAATTACATTACAATATATTAAACAATACAGACAAAACAATGAGTCTGTTTATATTTACGATATAGATTAATGTTTGAGATTAGTTGAAACAGTATTATGTTCTATTTGCTTAGTATTGAGACTTCTAAGCATCTTATTTGTTCAACTAATAGCTTTCCAAACTATATAGTTGATGAATAAATAAAAGATGCTTTCTTAGAAGTCTCAATACGATCTCCTATATCGTAATCAAATGCATACTAATTATAAACAAGATGAAAACATTAAAAAATTAGTAAATACTAATATATATCTACAACAGATCCTAGCAAAAAAAAAAAAAAAAAAGTTTATCATATATTACACTAAATCTAGTATATCTAACTCAATTATTCACAATGATTCTTCTCCCCATGTTAGCGATTTGCAAAAAACCAACAGTTTACAAATTCAAGTGACCTTTGGGAGATTGTATCTCCAACGGATTAAATAATATTTGTTGATCACACCACACTTGAATGATAACTAACATTTTTAGGCATTTAAAACAACACACCTGGCCATATACACAATTCCGGAAAATCCTCTTGAAAAAACTATATTTAAACATGAAAACAATTGAAACTTAACCTGAAAATAAACTATGAAATCTCCACAAATATTCTTAAATGCCTATAATTTATAATAGAAGCCATTGGTTTATACCAACGACTTCCCATACTTAATACTTCTTGTTTTCACTCTCACATGCGTGGCCATGTGTCACATCATGAACTGCGGTGCAATTTTTGCTTCCAGTGTCTCATATGCACGAGTTTGCTGTTGCTTGGAAGTCTTCCGTGCAAGCATAAACAATCATTATTGTTTTGTCTGTGTATTGGTTAATATATTGTAATTGTCATCTTTGATAATGGCTTATATAAGCTGAAAGCTTAGATAGGATTAAAAAAAATATCTATCAACATTGTGACTTTCTTTCATCTTTTAATGATAATGTTATTAAGCTTATCAGATACGAAATGAATTTACATAAAAGACAAAACTTGTCTATATTATTTAATGAAACAGGCATCAATGAAAAAATTCTGCCTAAATACACAATATATATAAGTGGACTCTCCTGCCACATTAGACATATGAGGGTCAGGCAGCTCAGTTCCTAGGAACCGACAGCTCGGACACCAGCACATATGATTTGATAGTGGTGAAGACTTTGTGCAGAACCAACTAAATTATATATTTAAAATATAATTTTATGTATTTATTGTTTTGACATTTCTAATATTTTGATGTTTACATCAGCTGATGTAAACTCAAAACCTAAAGACAAATTTTATTTTTCTATATATTTAAGAAAAGTCATTTTCAGATACATTGGTTTAAGCCTAAGTATTACTATATATAATTAAAACATTGCAATTACTTCAAAACAACAGTGGACAAGTGCTGACATTAACTGCTTTTCAATATTTAACAGCACAAAGATTGATGGTGATAGGAGATTAGTACACTACAATCTTCCTAAGTGGGGAGGGCCTGCATTGAGATTTAATTCTAACTACTGTTGGCAGTGAAAAAAAAAAAACAAAAAAAAAAACAAACTATTTCACCCATCAAATATACCAGCCAGAAATGTGCTCATATCCTCATCCCTACCCTAAGAAGTTAAAAAAAATAAAAGAAAGCAACAAAGTAAATTTTTCAGGGTTTTATTAAAGTTCATCCAAGCGGAGCCAAAGCGAGGCATGTGATGCTTTAAAAAGCTTTTTCTTATGTTACAGCACAGTGAAGAAATAACAAACACAAACAAAATTTAATAATAAAAAAAAAAAAAGTAGTCTAGATGAAAGTTAAGGGAAGCTAAAAAAGGGGGTGACAAGGACTGATCTGGAAATTTAAAATAATAATAATAATAATAATATATATATATATATATATATATATTATATATATATAAAAAAAAAAAAGTTAAATAAACAAGAAAATATTTGGTTCCCCATTTTTGTGCTATTTTGAGATGACAGATTTTTTACAGGGCAAGAACAGCTGTCCAGGTAAAATGTGGTGGAGTGGGGAAAAAAAAAAAAAGAAAAAAAGAAAAAGTGATGCTGCAGGAAATAAAATAACCAGCATTAACTTTAATTTTTCTCTTTCATCAAAAAACAGCAGCTTAAGCAGAAGTAGGACAACTACTTTTGTAGCTTTAGTTTTGACAATTTCAATTTTACTTCCAATATATATTTTTTTAAAAATTCGAGTTAGATATTTCATGCAGTAATAATTCTCCCCCTTAAAGTATTTAATATTTTCAGTTATTTTCAAATAGAGAAAACAGTTAAAAACCTATAATGACCACATGTTAAAGTTTTTGCATAGATTTTTCTTTCTTCCCTTAAAAACAAAAAATTAGGTTCCTTAACATTTTGGCTATTTATCCGAAAGAATGAGAGATGTAAGATGGAGTATAGAATGGGAGGAGAAAAAGCAGTAGTGGCATTTTTTTTTTCCTTTTTTAGTAGGTAGTGTCAATTGGAATGGCTGACTGATGTAAAGAGCAAAGGAATGAGATCTGTTATAAAGTGAAGGAAAAAACACATTAAAAAGACATTTTACAAATTCTCACACTAGTCTAACTTTAGGGTAACAGAATTATACTAGTTAATTAAGGCAGTGAGTGCGTAATATATCACACACACAGACAGACAGACAAACAAACAAAATGGTGGCACCAGGTACTATTGGTTAAGGGGTATGTTTATGGATGACTTTGGATTGATCAACATATATGAAAGGGGACCTTAGAATCAAACTCATTCAAGTCATGCTATTGTGAGAAATAAAATAAAATATTTAAAGTGTAATAATAAACTGGAATGGGAGAGAAACAATTATATATATTTTAGAATCCCCAAAATGACAAACAAAGAAAAAGAAAAAGAAAAAAGAAAAAAGAAAAAAAAAAAAAAAAAAAAAAAAAAAAAAAAATCACAATAACCATCCACCCCAATCACTTGCCCTTAACTCTTTAGGATAAGAACTCCTAAGATATGCAAAATGATTTTTCTTTTAAAAGTGATGAGATGGCCTAAGCCTGGATGACTTGTCCATTGTACATGATTTCAGTTAGTGAATTTAGTCACCTATGACCTCCACATATAAATCATGCTAAGGCAGATCTATTGGTAGGCCAGAACAGGCAACAGCTTTGCTTTCACCAACATTATCCCTAAAAATGAGAATGACGATTTATGTACAAGGTTCTTTCCAAGTGGAAAGCTTTATGAATTGGGATTTTCTTTAATCAATTTCACTGGCTTCTTTTAGGTTTTATTTGATAATTAAAAAAAAAAAAAAAAAAAAAAAAAAAAAGTTTTCGTAAGTTTTATTTTTCAAGCCTTAAATCCATTTTATTCCAAATTTGCCGTGACCCAACCCTTCCAAATTTCAGTTATCTTCGCTTTTTGAGTCTTTCACCTCTCCAGCTTCTTCCTTGTCATCATCATCTTCCCCAACTAACACTTCCACATCTTCACCTGAAAGACAAAGAAAACCCTTAGTCATCAATAGTAAAAACTAAGTACATAAAGTCAATTAGGACATTACTAATTGTTCACAAACTCACCCACATATATTACAATCTTTGGTGGTTGTTGGGAAATAACATCATTTTGGTAATCTCACCTTTGTGACCAAGAAAAAACCCCCCAAAAAACAAACCCTGTAACCAAAGTTTTCATAATAATAATCTGTTAGATTCTGAATCCCAAAAAGATCACCTATTTACAAAGATATCCATGGATAATTTCAGTCAGGGTGTATCTTTTGTTAAAGAATTTTATTTTTTTCCCAAAATTTGCATTATATAATACAGACACAATAGTCTAAATTACATTTTAAGATTTTAAAATGAAAATAACAGGAAAAAAAATTCTGGTCTGGCAAGTTCAAATCTCTCCCAAATAAATGCCACTCAGTATTACCATGGGAGGTGGTTAATATATTATATTCTCCCGTCTTGAATTGTGTGTACTCATTTTCATTAGTAAGTATTTCTATAATTTTAACTACCTTCACTCTTCAGCAATGTACATCATTTTAAAAATTGATTAGAATTAAAATTAAACCTAAAACATGAAATTGAATTTATACATTTTCTTGGTTCTTGAGAACTGGCAACAAAAATAAACACTATTTATTAGATTGTTAATTTCTAGAATGTTGCAAATATGAAATTATTCTTGTAAATAAACAAATACTGCTCAATATTTTTTGCTGTAAATTCTAGGGGGGAATGAAGGGGGAGGAGATGGAGGGATGTATGGGTTTAGTATAAATTCACATGTTTAGATCTCATTACAATTTTAATTATCACCTAAAACAAACAAACAAACAACACTTGTCACCATTGTTTTTTTTTTTGGTGGACACAAAGGTTAAAGATTGGCATAATCCTGTTGGTCCCACTCATAGTAAGTTAGTCAGCATGTGTATTAATTATGCCCTGCCATTACCTCAAATAATGATCCATTACATTTTGTAAAGAAGGATGGGATAGAAAGAGAAAGATATAGAGATGCTGTTTGGTTTTAGCAAGAACAAAAGAAGGCGTATACAAGGAAGGGGTGAAAATAGATGAAAATGCTCTTATGGGAAATCACGTCAATTTTGTATCCCTTCACTTATATTAAGTTCTTTAAATGACTTGCATTCATACTTATGATTGTCATTGCAAGATTTTGTTTAAGTTGTTAAGCACATATTTAAATGATGCAACAAGGGAATTTTCATGAGTATATTATAACCATGGAACTTGCAAAGAACATATTTAATCACGAAATTAATAATTATGCTTCTTTGGAAAGCTTAAATAGGAAAACTGAAACATTCATAGGTATTGTTAGTATGTAATTCAGCAATGCCGCAACATGGCAAATGTTTAAACATAAGTCCTTGCCTTTCTGATTCAGGCTTTAAAGTGAATCGAACCAAAAACAAATGAGTCATCATTGTAAATGTACCTTTGCAGAAGAGAAATGATGCTTGATAATTAAATAATTTTGTTTAGTGGATTTAAACCATAATTTTTCTTCTTTAACTTAAAAAAAATTCTATAAAATCTGAAACATTTAAAAATTTGCATTCCCACATAAAGCAAAGTTTTGATTTCCATGTCTGGTATTCTAATTAGTATAGAGAGTATAAATCTGAAAGAAAAACTTGGAGCAATGTATGCATTTACTTTCTATTAAATTTATCAATAAAAATTTAAAATAGTGCTTAAAAGGTGTAGAATTTTACATGTTGAGAGAGAGAGAGAGAGAGAGAGAAAAAAAAAAAAAAACATGCATACATACCTTCAAGAGCTTCTTCAACCTCTTCATCTTCCACATCTTCATCATCCTCATCAACTTCATAAATCTCCTCTTCTGAAAGAAAGGTTTAAATAATTTTTCAAACCTCCCAATTGAAGCAGATCAGTGATAAAATAACTTAATTGCATGTATTTTTCTTTTTTGCTGAACTAAAAATATTCTTCATCAAATCTAGTAGTCCATTCTTCACCCATTCTCCATTGGAAACCAGAACAGTGGCAGAAAATAAGGTTTTGAATGCAAGAGGTTTTTTGCAAAAACAAAAAATAACCCATGACAGTGGAAAACATTTTACGATTCAATTGTCCTTTAGGACATCATTGAACTAAAGCAACTACATATGAACAGAGGGGGTGGAGTCAGGAGCAGGCGCTGAGAATTTAATTTTTTTTTTTTTTTTTTTTTACAATTTATATAATTTTCCCCATAAAGAAAGATTTATATAATTAAGATAAAAACATTACTATCAGCTTATGTCCCCTTATCAAACTCTTGTATAGTTTTTCTAAGTAACTCATTTTGGGTTCAAAGCCAATGCAGTGAAGATTGAACTCACTGTTCAGTACAGATGATTTCTAAAATGAGATCATTAGATATTAAGA